AATCCATTATGGCATTTATCTGTACTGCTATTTTTATATACCTGCACATTAACCACTGACATAAGTTACAGAGTCGACACCTTGGAGTAAATATTTTATAATTCATGAATACAAGATTCACTTCAGTTTGATGGAAAATGAACCAGTTTTAGACTTGATTTGGAGTGCAGGTAAGGAGGGAGTCTCACTGCAATCATTACGCTGTTTCCATCATCCTGGCTATTCTGAGGGTCTCTCACTTTGCTTCACAATAGCAGCTGCCAAAGTTCAATTCATGAAAGAAGAAGGCTTGCACTTCATTCCAGTTTGAAATGGAGCCAAGAACAAGATGAGCATCTGAAGAGGCTTAATTATTAAAACTTTCTACCGGATATTGCTAAGTCATCAAAGACGGTTTTTGTGAAGAGTTTGCCCAAAACATGTCCCAAGATGTAACTGTAGTTGGGTCCCAAGATGTAAACTAAATAGAAGAAGAATATTTTGGAAATATTTCATTGTTATCTTTCTGTCCTAAATGATAAACAGACTGAATAGCTGAAGAACAATCTCTCAAACATCAGTCTCTCCTTCTTCTAACGTTCTATCAGATCTGTGGAAGTGGACCAAACGCTAAAATCTCCCTTAAAAGCAGTGCTTCACGCGATTGGGTTTCTGGAACATCTTACTCTGAAATATACAACCTTCCCACAGAGCTCGTATTTTCCTTTCCAGCTGTCAAATGATGCAACCGTGCATGCTGCTCCTAACAGACTCTTTCCTGTGCAACATTTTTCTTTTTAAAGAAATACCAATTTTTCTTCCATGTTCAAAACCTGGATTTGGAAAAAAAAAAAAAAAACAAATGTAGATGGCTTCTACAGTCATGGAAAAAAATAAAAATAAAAAATAAAAAAAACATTTTTATTGGTGATAAATAAAGTCATGGGAAAAACTAAGTAAGTCCTTGTTTACATTGGATTAAAGCGGGCAAAGTAGAAGCCAGTTGCTGGTATTCCTCTGCAATCAAATAATTGATAATTAAGTGAGACCATGCCTATAAAAAAAAGATGTGAAAGTTTATTGATATGGGTTGTAAACAAAAACAGAATATTTAATAGGACGTCCTCATTTTTTTTATATTTGATAGGATGCTTTAGTGTCCTTAGTTTCTTTAAGACTTTTCAAACCTCATGTCTTACTAAGGATTTCAATTTTTTTGTCTTTAAAGTTTCCCCTTTACTGTAACCATCTTATTAGAATGGCCTGAAAGCTTCTTTACTAGTCGAAGCACAGCACATCCGACATATTTTCACATCAAGGACATTTTCATGAAACATTTATTATGTCTCTCCAAACATATTTTGCCTTTCAGAGCACATGGAGGAAAGTCTCAAACACTAAAGCTATTTTAGTATCTTTCTAATTTTCCATAAAAATATGGTTTACATTCAAAACATAGATTCCTGCTTGTAAAAAAGAAAGAAACTTAGGTTTTGGAGTTGAAGATGCCACACTGCTCAGTTTTTAAGCTTGACATTAACTTTACGTCTATTTTTTTTTTTCTTTTTTGCCATTTTCTTTGTGAGCGTTATTGTTCCATTCACCTGAATATATTGTTTGTCCTTTTTTCTCTGTGGCAACGTAGTGAGGTTTATCAGGAGTGATGCTGACACAGCCACAAGGGAACTGCCTCATTATGCTTGAGTGGCAGGGGAAGTTCAAGGGTTTTGCACTGCTTGCTGTATCCTCCCCAAAAACTTGCACTTATTTGTTTCAACTCTCATGTGACAGTACCAATCAACGATTATACCAGGCAGAAGCAGACTGTTTCTGCAACCCATAAATTTGTGGAACTGGATCTGTCAATACATAAAGACTTCACAACAGCTCCTCTCAGAGAGGTTAAATCGTGGTGAACCAAAACATGTCTCATCTGACCTTTCACCTTCAAGAACTACTGTCAATATTACACCTTCAGTCTTGTAACAGGCAACTCATCTTGTAGCAGGTGAGTTGTCAGTTTGAAACCCCACTCTGTGAAATCTCCCACTCTTCTCAGTCTTGTGTCCTTGGGCAAGACATCCACCCTCCTTGTGGGTGGCAGCCTGGTTTCTATCAGACTGCCCCAGGGCAGCTGTGACTACAATGTAGCTCACCACCATCAGCGTATGAATGACTGACTGTAGTGTGAAGCAATTTGTTGTCCTCTGGACTCGACAAAGCGCTATGCAAGTACACACTATTTAGATCTTGTCAAAATGCCTGAAGTTTGAATATTTTTGTGAAGTGTTGAGTTAAAAAAAATGCCAGAATGCTTGTCAATATGTCAAAGCTTATCTCATATAAGTTACATTTTTCCTTACTCAGACAATAAGAAAGGAGTTAACTTTATGTGATGATGGTGCAAAATATAAACCTGACTTTTTCTTGATTAGAATGATTGGCTGTTATTAGCTTCAAATGAAAAAACAGCTCAGGTCATAATGTAGATATAATGACTGTTATTACAGTTTCCTGATGGTTTGAACTTTTATTAAAAATGTGCTTTTTTAAAAAAGTACCAAATTCCTTTATTTTTTATTTTTTTGTTGCCAGTATGAAGTGACTTTCTCCTCAGTTTGCCTCTGATTGATTGAACAGCCAGGTCTCCACCGGAACCTGGCAAGGAGTTCAGAAAGTCTTGGATTAAACCAGAAGCCACCAAGAAGCATTGCCCTGATCAATTTGCTTGGTTTGGCTGTGATGAATGTTCTTGTTTTCACTGATATCAAATTAACTGGCCCACAGCCAGCAGCCTTCTGAGGGACCTTCCTGCCAGAACAACATTCAGGGTTCTAGCACATTCTTCAGTCTTCAAATGAGGAACTTCTAAAAATAGAATCTGAAGAAATAAAGGAAGAGTGGAGAGAGAGAGAAGGAAGGAATCAAGGAAAGTTGCAGAGGTAGGACACAAGGAAGGAAAAAAGTCACAAAAGAAGGGATTTTTGTAGAGCAGAATTTTGTTTGAATCTTTGTACTTTAGATTGAAATGTATAAATATGTGTAAAATATTTAATAAAGCTGTTTCTTTTGCCTCATTAAATTATTATTTGTTGTTACTAATAACATATTTATATCTCAACTTGAAATACTTTATTGTTCCCGGGGGAGAATTCATTTGCAACAGAGTCTACAAAATCCACACATAACAAAAACACTCACACACCAGAGAGAATGGAAAAAACTCCTTTTTTTCCATCATCATAATTATAGAGTGAATCCAAATCCATGTTAGTCCAGAAATATACTTAGACACCTCTTTGCCTGTTTTATTAGAGAAAGAGACTTGAGGCTTCTGATTGATTATGTGACTGGTTAAGAGACAGATTTATTCATGTACATTAATCATGTTTAACAGCATGCTCACACTGAAAACTGCACTAACCACTGCATCCTTTTTTTAACTGTTACTTAATCATTTCAAAAACTAACAACTAGATTAAACATAATAACAGAGACTCGAAGTCGCATATATCAATCAAGTTGTCATAAAGCATAACCATAAAAAATAAGCAACCTGTCCACATGCATCCATGTGGATCTAAGCGAACAAATCAAGAGTAAGAATCTATGATGTGCGGTGGGAATCAGTCCCTGCCAAACCTCAGCAAGTGAAAAACACATTACAGAAGTTGTATGGATGTCTCACACCTGCATGGTCATTACTTTTGCCGAGGCGCTGATGTGCATTGTGATGGCCAGTTTTGCTTTTAGGTTTGCGTCACGGTCAAGAATTCAGCTTTTTTAGCCGTGATTGAAATTCTCAGGCAGCCATCAATCTGCATTATAGACTGATTTCCTCTTGTCTGGTGGGGGCTAACTAAAACAGATTGAGACAGCTCTAGCTCACTGCATCACTAATGGCTGGCAATGAAAGACGTCTCTGTGCGGTTGACCCGTATGTGGAACAGGATCACGTCGCAGCTCAGAGCGATGAAGAGAGCACAGCTCAATACAGGGGAGTCTCCTCGGCATCAGTCACCAGTCAACAGCATCCTCATCTTATTGACTAAATGTTGCCCAGAAATAGAATCTAATCACAGAGTTTGGACAGGCTCTAGTTCTCCTAATGGTTTACCATTAGCCATCTGGAACAAAGCCCAAAGTGTAAAATGAAATATAACAATACATTCCGAGGGTCTGTATTGCATGGCAAAAATGGGCTCTCAATTATTGCCACTGCACTGGCATATTTGCAGAGATCAGAAGAGCTTTGCAGCAAAAAAAAAAAAAGAAAAAGAAAAAAAAAAGAAAGCAAAGATTACTTGCTCACCCCTGCTTTGAATCCTCCTCATTATTTTCTGTCATACCAGTCTCTATTAACCTGTAAAGGCCACGGAAAGCAGAAGCTAAAATCTTGGTGGGGAAAGGCACTTTCTCCATTCAGCTGTTGTTGAATGGATGATACAAGGGAACAGTCTGTAAGTGAAACAATTACCCATGCATTTTTTTGTGTGTTGTTTTTGCAAGCAGGGCCAAAACAGAGTCATTACTTGCATGGCATAATTGACAGTGAACTCATGCAATCTTATTAATTGATTACCCAGACCTTTTGGTAATGGGAAATGCAAAGTCTCATTGTATCAGCAGTCTCTCTGCCCCCTGCCTCTTACTTTCCAGCACAAGAGGGAGCAGATGGAGACCCAGTAATGATTCTAGACTTCGCTCACCCCCCAGTCCTCCAAACATCATCGAAGAACCTCTCAAGGAATTTTAATTTTATGCCATCAAATAACCTATATAGTGTAGTAACATGCAGCACAGTGCATTTCAAAAACAGCTCAGGCCCAGGGGGGGTATATAGCTTAATTAAGATAACAAGTTTATTTCTTAAAGCAGGCAAAGATGAGGATGCGGGAGTGTGCCCCCACGCCTCTCATGCAGGATTCAGCCTCCAGCTCCTCCTCTGATGCATCGTTTGCATCAGTACTTGGGAACCCTTGTCCGCGCGTTGCTGCACCTCCCCACAGTGCGTTCGCAGACTCCTCTTTACCAGGTGATGACAGGAGGGGGAGAGAAAGAGAGAGAGAGAAAAAAAGAATCGCTCCTGATTAAAACAGAATTATTCTCAAAAACTCTAAAGTCGGGATCAATGCACGATGGAGACGCGTCTCGGTTGCTGCTTTTTTATCTTTTTTCTCTCTGAGTGGATTTGTCTGTTGTCATTAACTTCAGTGCTGGGCGGAACAAAGGCGGAGGTAAGGTGCATTCGCCAGTGCCAGCAGCCGCTTGTGGTGGCGGTACCCCGGGAAAGAGGGCCCCCGGACCGGGCGGATTCCGACGCAGCTCCCGGTGAAGAATTCGTCGGATTTGTTGAGGAGTCGTTCAGCGCCAGCGGAGAGGAAAAAGACGGCGCTGCGGAATCAGTCGCGAGTGAAGAAAGTTCATTCAAACTACAGCCGCGGCCGGGGGAGAATGAGACAAGTGGTCCGCAGGGAGACGGGGACCATCAGAAACTTTCCCACCCTCCTCCGAGCGCCTCTGGCCCCTTTCCTAATAACGCGAGTGAAGAGAGAGATAACAGCTTCAACTCGACCGGGGACACGGTCGCTTGGAGAGTGCGAAGGAGCGCAGAGACCCGGTCAGGTTTCCGGGACGAGGGTGTGGAGGATGCTTCGTTTTCGGACCAGGAGGAGTTCGAGCTCTCAAGTTCAACATTTGCCCTGGCCGGGGACACAGCTCACAACCAGGCGATGGTGCGCTGGTCCGGACAAAACAGCAGCGTAAGTATAGCCTACTTTGTGGCGCTCCACATTTTACGCACGGCTGTCTTTTGACGCAGTGTGGTCAGCGCTCACTCACGCATCTGTGGCATGCTTGGCGAAATTTGAGGCTTTTGTCCTGCGCTGTAGTCACGGGAAAGAGGTGAAAAACGAAGAATGCTGACAGATCGCAGAGTTTGGTGGCTGATTTTCATGTGTGCCTGTGCCCGCCTTCCAGCTCCCCTGTCTCGCACGCAGATCACTCACGAACACAACTTATCACGGCTGTTGCTGCATAGTTGTTGGAATATGTAGAGAAATGTATCATCTAAGATTTCCAAAATGATCTTGTTTATAAGTTAAAAAAATATACTATTTCCAAAAGAAGAGGGATGCGTCTTTTGATAGTGATTCCATCTGGTCCTCTCGATAAAGCTTATTCTGTTTCCCTTTGTTTTTTATTCCATGAGTGTTTATCAAAACAAATACTTAATACATTAATGTGTGAAAGTAATTATAAATGTATCTCTGTTTTTAGCCTAAATTGAAACTTTCATCTACCTTGCACAAAAGAATCAAATAAATAAATAAATACATAAAAAAACAAATACAAAAAAAAAAAAAAAAAAAAAAATTATAGGCCTGCACAAACTTGAATCTAAATTAGGTGTGTGCATAAAAGACCATGAGCATTCACAGTTGGGCATCGTTAGCATGTAGAGTTGGAATGCACAGCACCTAAGATAACGGCATATGCAATGATGCCTCCAAGCAATAAAGCAAGCAAACAAGTAACTGGGACATTAGATATATTATAGTTTCAATCACTAATGTGACCAGATATTTTGTGCAGCTCTAACAAAAAATGTCATAATAATAATGACAATAACAAAGATGTGATCTTTCAATGCAGACTTTCAGTACTTCACAGTTTGAATAGAAATGGGGAATGGTGGCTTTTTCTTGAATGATCTCCTGCTCCCCACACAGCTCTCACCGCACCTCAGAGTCTTACACAAAACCACACAAACCTATTTCACCCCGACAAGTAAGACGCTTTTTATATTATGACCTATTTATTAAGACAAAAATAATTATGAGCCCTGGGCTCATAATAATAGAACAACGCCCCAAGATGCCAGGGGCGGTGACAGGAATCTTGGGCCCCCTGACAAAAAATTTAATTGCTCCCCCTCATCCACGCAGCTGCTGTTGCAATTTTTTGCTCCTATCTGACCTGTCAAAAGCGTCACAATTATAAAGGCAACGGGCTTGCTTTCTTTGGTCCAATACAAATAACTAGCAAAACATTTATTGCTCATACATTTTACATACTACAGTCCACATACAGTATGCAAGTAAGCTTATATTTTTTCTATTAGTTTCAGATTACTGAAATGTCTCTCCCCATGAGCAACAATAGTCATAGGTTATAATATACATAAAGCAATCCAGACTTCTCAGAAAATGGTATGTAGTTGGATTTTATTCAAGCTGCAGTATATAACTTAAATTAAAAAAAAAAAGGTTTTCTCCAGATTTGTTAAAGATGTCACCATGTCATGACAGATTATTATGAGATAGATAATTTGTGAAAACAATCAATCTCCTCCCCCTGCTCCCTGAGTTATAGGCTAAATCTCTCTGTTTTCTTTTTTGTTTTTTTTTTGAAAACCTGACTTTTTTTATTTTTCTCAGCAGCACAGAAACTGCCACAGTAATTCTTGTTTTCTACTGACTGCGGCTGAGCACCGTCACCGTTAAAGCCCAATCAGGAACAAACCATTTCATGCAGATCCAGGAGGCTTTAGGGGAAGTATGGATGTGTGTTTTTTGGTCTAGGAGGGATAACATTTGATTTTCACTGCTAAAAACAATTTTCGAAAATACAATATGAGTAATTTTGTAATTGACAGAGCCCCAATTTTTTAAATTTATTTTTATTTTTTTTTATTTATATGAACAAAAAAATAATAAATACATTGTGGAGGGCCTCCTGTTGGTCTGGGGTCCTTAAAATTGTCATCACTCCCCCCCATACAGCGCCCCTGCCTGGGCTAATAAGTTATTTAGTTTTTTTAGATAAGATCAAATGCACATTTAAGAATATATACTCTATCTGATGATGCATCACTGAAAGCCAAAATTCATATTCCTATTTTATTAGCCACTCTCCAAATATGGCCAAGTTTTTTTAACCTCCCAATCAATTTGTTTCTACCAAGAAGAAATGCAAAACATATTCAGCGGCACTACCAGATAATTTAGTTTTGTCCAAAGAAGTTGTCTCACTGGATTAGCCTGGTAATAGGTTATTGACTATGCTATTTGACAATTGTGCTATTCTTGCCTTGTCAAATAGGATAGTCAAAAATGGTCATATGGTTTAAACATTTGAAACTATAATTTGGACACAAATAAAAATATATGTATATAGCTCCAAATGCTTACAGAGTTTGCCTGCCTTTGGTATCTACACAGCTTGCAATTTCCACTTGATGACTTCTGTTGTCTTAAAGCTCAACAAACCCTGAGAGGAGAAGATGAGTCTATGGAAGCACTTAAAACAACAGGGAATATTCCTTGTAACAAGCTCTGTCTCCATTTAGACCCTCATGTCCAAGCAAGGAATGTCAACATCTATTTGGAGCTCAGTGGTTTAACTAAAACCACAGCTTGCTACATGGATGCTTTTTAGTCAAGAGGTATGATCTGAATTATTTGTAAACCCTCAACTGAATTGAGATTGCTATGAGACCAGTGGGTGTCTCGTCTGATTGACTAAGGATGAAAGAATGAGCTAAGTTGGTTTCATGTCTGAGATAAGTTGATAGTCATTTGGGTTGTTATTTAAGTTATGCTATGTAACGTTAAAATACAAAACTGCTGTCTGGAAACAAATATTAAAATTAGGTCAGAGGCAGAAGATATCTAAGACTTTTGGCTGTTGGAAGTTTTAAAGAGATAAAAGCATCTAAGGCAGTGAATTCAGGAGTAGCAAGACATGCACACATTTAAATCATTAGCATAACTGTTTATCTCAGATCCATGTCCTTATTTTTGATTTCTCAAAAAAAATATTAAGATTACATTGTATTGCCCTTTGTGCCATTAGAATGTAGAATGTTAATCAGAAAAAAAACTTTTTAATGAAGAGCCGAGAGGAAGGAAAGTGTGTGATTCAAAAGGGCACACAAATGAGGGACAGTCAGGTTTAAGTAGAATTTGTAGCAAAGTCAATTCAAGAGTTTAGTTGAGATGAACTGCAACTGCAATCAAAGGTTCAAGAGCCACTACACTCACAGACAAGTCCAGGAAATGTGCTAATTGTTTTAGACACTTTCCAAAGCTTCCTACCTGGACTAAGGAGAAAAAGGACAGTTTTAGATTGTCCTTACCCAGTGGCCCAGTGTCTTCAGAAGAAAGCGAATTTTGCATTTCATTTGGTAATCAAGGTCCCACAGTGTTGAAGAAGAGATTAGAGGCAAAGAATCAGAGCCTTTAGAGGTCCAGTGCAAAACCTCCATGAGTAGTGATTTATTTAAGTGCCATGTGTTCTGCTGATTTTTGTCCACTGTGTTTTGCCAAGCCCGGAAATCAGCAAGTCTACCAGAAAGTGTTAGGGCACTTCCCTTCACTAATTAGCTTATCACATTTTTTAAATTAAATTATTTAAAAAAATGATGACGTTCTAGTTTAATAAGATGTACCTATAGTCCCGATAGTGAGTTCTAAGTCTGCTCCAGACTCTAGTCCTAAAGGGATTTCCAGAGTAAATCTCTTTAGGGAAGCACCAAAGAGGCTTTCTAGATATCAAAACTATCTCAACTGAATCTTTGACGCAGAGGACTCCACTCTGAGTTTCCCCCCATTTTATCTCTAGGGTTCACTTTGGAGGGAGATCATTCAACCATTTATCCAGGATATTCCGTTTTTTCAGTCACAATCCATGTAAGGCAATCCTTAGGTGTAAGGGTCGAATCATATACAAACCAGAAAATCAATAGTTATGCTTTCCCTTTCCATCTATAACTTGTGAGAATGTTGTCAAGATACTTGAAGTTCTTTGCTTGAGGCAGTGACTGATCCCAGTCCTGGAGGGAACAGTCTGCTTTGTTCGGTTGAGCTCTGAATTGCAGAGCTGAAAGTTATCAGGTCAAACTGCCTGTTGGCACATAATTTGATTTCCGCCTTATGAAATCAGTCTTTATTGATTTGAAACAGCAAAAAAAAAAAAACCAAAAAACAAATATCATCCAATAGTTTAATGACACATTTTCTCAGTCACTACACAAATTAAGCCCTTTTAAAAACATTTAAAATCTTCCAACTCAAGAATACAGAAAGCACAGAAGCACATTGTTTTTACTGATAGATAAATGTTTTTTTTTTTTTTTTTTTTATCTATATATTTCTCATTTTTTTCTCAAGGAGGGTGAAAATAAAAATGGGACTGATGTGTTCAAGGTCTTAGAAGACTGATGCCTCCCATCCAGCTCACACTGGGCAACATCAAGGACAGTTTGATTTACTCACCAGGCAAATATAATGGCAAACACATTCACACCGACATTCAGTTTAGACCTTTTGATTCCCCTTGTTAGTCTCAAAACCAAAGAAAAAACTACAACAGCTGAAAAAAAAAAAAAAAAAAAAAAACACTAAAGAAACTACGCCTTCTTTATTATGTGAGAAAATTCAACTGTGGAATAATTAAATTAGCTTAACCTACTTCCAAAATATGAAATTTAGCCAATAACTTAAGTTGAACCATTTGAAATTAGCAGATTTTGATATTTCAAAGTAAACTTCAGACCTTAACTTCAAAAGTGACAAACGTTGGACAATAAGGACGAAACCGAACAAGCTCTGCTGCACTTTAAAGACCTTTGGATTTGAAATCCCTTGAATGTGAGCCTTTATAGAATGTTTTGCCCTTGGATGATCATAGAGGTTCAGAGAATCTTTGATGAACAAAAGTTGATTGAAATTATGCATCTGCCACACACACACGCCCAATA